TTGATTTGCCATTCTATAATGACCATTGATGATGAGGTTTTTTTTCCATATATTTGCTAGCTGCATAAATGTCTTCGTTTGAGAAGTGTCTGTTTATATCCTTCCCCCACTTTTTGATGGGTTTTTGTTGGTTTGTTTTTTGTTTTTTGTAAATTTACTTAAGTTCTTTGTTGATTCTGAATATAAGCCCTTTGACAGATTGGTAGATTGCAAAAATTCTCTCCCATTCCGTAGGTTGCCTTTCACTCTGATGATTGTATCTTTTGCTTTGCAGAAGCTCTTTAGTTTATTTAGATCCCATTTGTCTATTTTGGCTTTTGTTGTCATTGCTTTTGGTGTTTGAGGCATGAAGTCTTTGCTCATGCCTATGTCCTGAATGGTATTGCCTAGGTTTTCTTCTAGAGTTTGCATGGTTTTAGGTCTTACATTTAAATCTTTAATCCATCTTGAGTTAATTTTTGTATAAGGTGTAAGAAAGGAGTCCAGTTTCAGCTTTCTGCATATGGCTAACCAGTTTTCTCAATACCTTTTATTAAATAGGGAATCATTTTCCCATTGCTTGTTTTTGTCAAGTTTGTTGAAGATCAGATGGTTGAAGATCAACAGCCTTGCATCCCAGGAATGAAGTTGACTTGATCATAATGGATAAGCTCTGGATGTGCTGTTGGATTCGGTTTACCACTGTTTTATTGAGGATTTTCACATTGATGTTCATCAGGGATATTGGCCTGAAATGTTCATTTTTAGTTATGTCTCTGCCAGGTTTTAGTATCAGGATGATGTTGGCCTCATAAAATGAGTTAGGGAGGGTCCCCTCTTTTTCTATTGTTTGGAATAGTTTCAGAAGGAATGGTACCAGTTCCTCTTTGTACCTTTGGTAGAATTCAGCTGTGAAACCATCTGGTCCTGGACATTTTTGGTTCATAGGCTATTAATTGCTGCTTCATTTTCAGACCTTGTTATTGGTCTGTGCAGGGATTCAACTTCTTCCTTGTTTAGTCTTAGAAGGGTTTAAGTGTCCAGGAATTTGTCCATTTCTTCTAGATTTTCTGTTTTATTTGCATAAAGATCTTTATGGTATTCTTTGATGGTAGTTTGTATTTCTATGGGATTGGAGGTGATATTGCCTTTATCATTTTTTTATTGAATCTATTTGATTCTTCTCTCTTTTCTTCTTTATTAGTCTGGCTAGTGTTCTATCTATTTTGGCGATCTTTTCAAAAAACCAGCTTTTGGATTCACTGATTTTTTTTGTGTCTCTATCTCCTTTAGTCCCGTTCCAAAGTTAGTTATTTCTCATCTTCTGCTGGCTTTAGAATTTGTTTGTTCTTCTTCTCTAGTACTTTTAATTGTGACATTAGGGTGTCAATTTTAGATCTCTCCTGCTTTCTCCTTTGGGCATTTAGTGTTATAAATTTCCCTCCATACACTGCTTTAAATATGTCCCAGACATTCTGGTACGTTGTGTCTTCGTTGTCATTGATTTCAAAGAACATCTTTATTTCTGCCTTCATTTCATTGTTTATTCAGTTGTCATTCAGGAGCAGGCTGAATGACAACTGAACTACGTTCAGTGTCCACGTAGTTGTGCGGCTTTGAGTGTGTCTCTTAACAGTGTGTTCTAATTTGATTACACTGTGGTCTGAGAGACTGCTTGGTATGATTTCCATCTTTTGCATTTGCTGAGGAGTGTTTTACTTCCAATTATGTGGTCAGTTTTAGAATAAGTGCAGTGTGGTGCTGAGAGGAATGTATATTCCATGGATTTGGGGTGGAGGGTTCTGTAGATGTCTATTAGGTCTGCTTGGTCTAGACATGAGTTTAAGTCCTGTTTATCCTTGTTAGTTTTCTGTTTTGTTGATCTAATATTGACAGTAGGGTTAAAGTCTCCCACTATTATCATGTGGAAGTCTAAGTCTTTTTGTAATTCTCCAAGAACTTGCTCTACGAATCTGCATCCTCTTGCATTGGGTGCATATATATTTAGGAAAGTTAGCCCTTCTTGTTGCATTGATCCCTTTATCATTATGTAATGCCTTTTCTTGTCTCTTTTGATCTTTTATTGCTTAAAGTCTGTTTTATCAAAGACTAGGATTGCAACCCCTGCTTTTTTTTGCTTTCCATTTGCTTGGTAAATCTTCCTCCATCCCTTTACTTTGAGACTATATGTGTCTTTGCATGTGAGATGGGTCTCTTGAGTACAGTATGCTGATGGGTCTTGACTCTTTATCCATTTGCCAGTCTGTGTCTTTTAATTGGGGCATTTAGCCCACTTACATTTAAGGTTAATATTGTTATGTGTGAATTTGATCCTGCCATTATCATGCTAGCTGGCATTATTTTGCCCATTAGTTCATGCAGTTTCTTCCTAGCATTGATGGTATTTACAGTTCGGTATGTTTTTGTAGTAGCTGAACCAGTTTTTCCTTTCCATGTTTGGTGCTTCTTTCAGGAGCTCTTGTAAGACAGGCCTATGGTGACAAAATCTCTCAACACTTGCTTGTCTGTAAAGAATTCTATTTCTCCTTTGCTTATGAAGCTTAGTTTGGCTGCATATGAATTTCTGGGTTGAAAATTCTTTTCTTTAAGCATGTTGAATATTGGCTCCCACTCTCTCTTGGCTTATAGGGTTTCTGCAGAGAGATCCGCTGTGAGTCTGATGGCCTTCCCTTTGCGGGTATCCTGACCTTTCTCTCTGGCTGCCCTTAAGCATTTTTTCCTTCATCTCAACCTTGGTGAATCTGACGATTATGTATCTTGGGGTTGCTCTTCTCAAGTAGTGTCTTTGGTGTTCTTTGTACTTCCTTAATTTGAATGTTGCCCTGCCTTGCTAGGTGGTGGAAGATCTCCTGGATAAAATCCTGAAGAGTGTTTCTAACTTGGTTTCATTCTCCCCTTCACTTTCAAGTATACCAATCAAACACAGATTTGGTCTTTTAACATAATCCCATATTTCTTGGAGTCTGTTTCATTTCTTTTCACTTTTTTGTCTCTAATTTTGTCTTCTTTATTTCATTGAGTTGATCTTCAATTTCTGATATCCTTTCTTCCTCTTGATTGATTCAGGTATTAAAACTTGTATATACTTCACAAAGTTCTCTCGCTGTGTTTTTAAGCTCCATCAGGTCATTTATGTTCTTCTCTAAACTGGTTATTCTAGTTAACAATTCATCTAACTTTTTTTCAAGGTTCTTAGCTTCCTTGCATTGGGTTAGAACATGCTCCTTTAGCTTGGAGGAGTTTGTTTTATCCACCTGCTGAAGCCTGCTTCTGTTAGTTCATCAAATTCATTCTCCACCCAGTTTTGTTCTCTTGCTGGTGAGGAGCTGTGATTCCTTAAAGAAGAAGAGGTGTTCTGATTTTTGGAGTTTCCGTCCTTTTTGTGCTGGTTTCTTACCATCTTCGTGGATTTATCTTCCCTTGGTCTTTGAGGTCAGTGACCTTTGGATTAGGTCTCTGAGTGTTCATCCTTTTTGTATATGTTGAAACTATTTCTTTCTGTTAGTTTTCCTTCTAATAGGCTGCTCTGCTTCGGGTCTACTGGAGTCTGATGGAGGTCTACTACAGACCCTGCTTGCCTGGTTATCAGTGGTGGAGTCTGCAAAACAACAAATATTGCTGCCTGTTCCTTCCTCTGCTGGCTTCATCCCACAGGACTATCTTCCAGATGCCAGTCAGAGCTCTCCTTGTGGTGTCTGTCAGCCCCTACTGGGAGCTGTCTTCCAGTCAGGATACACAGGGGTCAGGGAGTGACTTGAGGCAGTCTGTCCCTTATCAGCACTCAAACACTGTGTTGGAAAATCTTCTGCTCTCTTCAGAGCTGCCAGGCAGGGACGTTTAGGTCTGCTGAAGCTGTACCCACCACAGTCCCTTTTGCTAGGTGTTCTGTCCCAGGAAGGTGGGGGCTTTGTTTATAAATCCCTGATAGGCTGCTGCCTTTTTTCAGAAATGCCCTGCCCAGCAAGGACATCTAATGAGACAGTGCCTGCAGCTTCCGGGCTGTGTTGGGCTCTGCCCAGTCAGTTTTCCCAGCAGCTTTGCTTACACTGTGGGGTTGAAACCACCTGCTCCAGCCTGAGATATGGCAGACACTCCCCCCACAACCAAGCGCAAAGATCCCAGGTTGAGCTCAGACTGCTGCACTGGCTGCAAGAATTTCAAGCCAGTGGAGCTTAACTTGCTGGTCTCAGTGGAGGTGGGGCCTGTCAAGCCAGACCACTTGGCTCCCTGGCTTCAGCCTCCTCTCCAGGGGAGTGAAGAGTTCTATCTTGTTGGCATTCCATTTGCCATGGGGGTATTAAAAAAACCTGCAGCTAGCTTGGTTTGCTCATACCTCTGCCCAGTTTTGTGCTAGAAACCCAGGGCCCTGGTGTTTGTGTATGTACTAGAGGGAATCTCCTGGTCGTGGGTTGTGAAGACAATGTGAAAAATGCAGTATCTAGGCTGGAGTGCAGGAAACTGTCTCTAATGAGTTTCCTTGGCTAGGAGAGGGAGTTCCCTGGCCCCTTGCACTTCTCAGGTGAGGCAACAGCCCACCCTGCTTTGGCCCACCCTCCTGAGGCTGCACTCACTGTTTAACCAGTCCCAGTGAGATGAACCAGGTACCTCAGTTGTAAATGTGGAAATCACCCACCTTCTGCATCAGTCTTGCTGGGAGCTGCACACCAGAGCTGTTCCTATTTGACCAACTTGCCCAGGGACTCCAAGCTTGAATTTCTTAAATAGTCATTATTATTGATGAAAATGCTAAATAAGCCTTAGAGTAGGTATTGCTGCTTTAATGATATGCTGAGTTTAATTAATAAACATTAATACTTGATCAATGAAGTATTATTTAAGGTTATGTGAGAATTGTTAATCTAGTAAAATTTGATATATGGTTACTTACCAAACATAAAAATTAAACCAAGATCACATTGTATAAAATTGTGCTAACCGAAAACAGAACAAAGTTAATGAAATTAATTTCTAAAAGGTGTTTCAACCATTTTGTGTCTCAGGGTTATGATGATGGCTACGGGGGTGAATATGATGACCAAACCTATGAAGCTTATGATAACAGCTATGCGACCCAAACACAAAGGTAAGGCATTTGCTGTCTAAAGCATCCTTCTCAGGATTATCTCTAATCAATTTTGTTTCTTGAATCTGAATGTCAAAGTCAGTTATATCATGTGAGAATTTCTAGTAGTGTTTTTTCTCCATTATCACTCTAAATTATTAAGTTGCTTACGAGACTGTGAGAGGTAAAATATAATGATCTTGCAACTACAAACAATGAAATAGTGTGTTACTCTGAGACTGGATGATTATGGTAACCAATCAACTCATTAAATAACCTTGTGTTTAACTAAATAATGTTATTTTTAGATTTTTTTTAAAAAGACAGTAAGAGTAAGGCACTTGTTCAATTTGGCTTTTTTTTTTCCTAAAATGTCATATTTATTTGTAAAAGGTAATAAAATGTCCTTGCTACTCTGGAAAGAGGGAAATTCTTGAAATATCTTAGGGAATCAAGAAATCCTATGCTTCTTTGATAGATCTTTTATTGATTGTTGAATATATCTCTATAGATTGACCCAAAATTTGTGATATGATTTTTTACCTCTTTAAAATCAGACTTATTGAAATGTTATTTATATGTAATAAGATTTACCCATTTAGAATACAGCTGTATACATTTGGCAGATGCAAACTACTGCGTAATGACCACCAAAATTAAGACATAGAGCATTTTCACCATCCAAAAATACTTCTTCATGGCCCTTTGTAGTCAACTTCTCCCTCGTCCTCAGGCCCTGGAAAGCAACTATCTGTTTTTTACTAACATAGTTTTACCTTCTTTAGAATAGTTTGTAAGTAGAAGCAAAACAATAAGGTAATCTTTTGAGTCTGGCTTTCATTTTTTGTTAATATGAAGAAAATTGGTGTAAAACAAATGCATTTTTAGAAAACTCAATCACTCAGGTTTTTTTTTTTTCTATAAAATTACATTTCATAAGAAAATACAGGAGGTCTATGAGATAGTTAAGTGAGTCTCCCATTTATGTGACTGACAGAAGCCAGTTGACTTTATTGTTATAAAATCATTATAGCATTGATCATTTATTGACCAACGTTATTGGCACCCAAGGAGACTTAATAAGCCTCGTTTAGGACTTAAGTGATATTTGAGTGAGGAGAAGTGGCAAAGATGAAAACAGCTTTAAAGTCATTATAGATTAGAGGAAATCTACATGTATTGCAGAAATTTGGATTTTCCATGGCCTGAGTGACAGCACAGTAAAAGAATTGAAGGGAAATTTTATTTAAAGAGACTACTGTGGGCAATTAGAAAAAAGTTGAGTGTGAATTGATACCCTTAAAGCTAAGCATGACTTAAGTTATCACTATGGAAATGGCCATCGTTGACACTGAGTAATTGATTAATTTGTAATACGTTAAATAGAGAAGCCATCATGAGCCAAGAGTTTCTGGGGCAATATCTTAATTGTCCCAATTACATATTGGAAAACAGCACAGTTATTTAGCCTTTGGGTAAGTTTTGCATCACATTACAGACACTGAACAGAGTATTGTTTGCAAATTGGCTGCATATTTAGACCATCTGCTAATATTTTCAGTCAAATTGTTAGTTTATCATTATACACTAGCACATGAAATTGTGATAACAAAGTTCCATAACTAGTTTCAGAAACCCTTGATAGAAAGTGTAGTTACCACACACTACAAACACAATTAGAAGAGACTAAAATAATTCATTGATGCAGCTCTGTAGAGCTACATTTAAATAGGAGAAATTTTGGAATAATTTTGTGAAAATGAGGGACTTTCTCTTCTGATCAGATTCAAATGGGCTTAAATGACCCTAAGAAAAGAAAAGAAAAAAGAAAAATATAGGATTAAGATAATTTAGCTTTTAATATTTAAAAAGTGAATATTAGGATTATTGAACACACACATATATAAAGTAATGGCTATAAACAATAATTTTATAATAAAAATTGCTTTAAAAATAATTTATATGTAAAGGGACATTTTCTAAACATTTGTGCTGCCTTCCCTGGCTCCTTTCCTATCTACTCAATTTTTATAGCTCAATTCTTCTCATCCTTCCAGCCTCAGCTCAAAAGCCAACTCTTCTAAAAAGTCTTATCTTTATTCTGTTTGGGGGAATAATCTGTTACTGCCCTGAATTCCAGTAGCACCATATATTTACTTTTCTATAGCATTTATTTATCTGCCTTACATTGGGATTAATTATGCACATGTCCCATATCATTTTTGCTATTTGTTCAAAATCCTTTTCTAATACAGCCTCATGTCCTTCGCAATACCAGGTACGAGGTCTTTCATGGGGTGTGAACTGAAGGGATAATTTTTGAGTACATGAATGTCAAGCATAATATTTTCTACACTATAGGGATAAAAAAATAAGAGCCTCATTCTTCAAAGAGAATACAAAATTCAGAATTACATAAATCACATTTACTGATATAATATTTATGTGCTTCTCTGATACTTTACCGTTAAATCAGAGGGACAAAGAAAGTAGGTGATGAAATTAGTTGCAGTGATATTAATGCTCTATATTACAGTAATGATGAAATGCCTATTTTGGTCAAAATGATATCCTCAATCCTAGTATAGTTCCTGGCTCACTAGTGGTTCTCAATGAAGATTCATTAAATAACTAAAGGAAAAATGAGTAAATGCATTAATGAGTGAAATATTTTTTCAGAAAACTCTGTGATAAAGAATATGCCAACTTCTAATAGAAATGGATATACACTAGAGTACTTTTAGATAAGGTGTTTAATGTCTGCCTTTAGATTCTTTTTTAAATCAACTGGATTTGATCAAAATTAAATTTTGTTCTCTAAAAGACACTGTTATTTAATAAAATGGCAAGCCACAAACTGTGAAGCAATATTAGCAAAATATATATTTCTAAAGAATATCTTTGATTGTATCCAAAATATGCAAAAATGACTAAAACTTTAGAATCAAATAAATAAACTGACTTTTAAAAAGGGGCAAAAAACTTGAGCAAACATTTCACCAAATAAGATAGACAAATTGCAAATAAGAGTCTAAAAATATGTTCAACATCATTATTCAGTAGGAAAATTGAAATTAAAACCACAATTAGATCCTAGTACACAGATTGTAGAATGGCTAACATTAAACAGATTGAATTATCAAATGTTAGTGAGGATGTAGAGCAACTGCAACCCTCATACACTGCTGATAGGGATGTAAAACTGTAAACCAGTATAGAAAAAAACTAGGCAGTTGCTTATAAAGTTGACCTACATTTGCCATATGACTCGGCAATTCTTTGCTTTGCATTTGCCCAAGTGAAATGAAAACATGTATCTATCATGGAGGCTGTTGTACATATTACTTCATTACTCAGATATTAAGCCTTGTACTGCCTGTTATCTTTCCTGATCCTCTCCCTCCTCCCGAAGGCCAAAAGGTCCCAGTGTGTGTTGTTCCCCTCTGTGTGCCCATATGTTATCATCATTTAGCTCCCACTTATAAGTGGGAATGTGTGGTATTTTGTTTTCTGTTTCTGTGTTAGTTTGCTAAGGATAATGGCCTCCAGCTCCATCCATGTCCCTGCAAAGACATGATCTTGTTCTTTTTTTATGACTTCATAGTATTCCATGGTATGTGTATATATGCGTGTGTGTGTGTGTGTGAATACGTACACCCCACATTTTATTTATCTAGCCTATCATGATGGGCATTTAGATTTAGGTTGACGCCATGTCTTTCCTTTTGTGACTAGTGCTGCAGTGAACATACACGTGCCATGTGTCTTTGTAACAGAATGATTTATATTCCTTTGGGTATATGCCCAGTAATTGGATTGCTGGGTAGAATGGTATCTATGCTTTAGTTCTTTGAGGAATCACTACACTGTCTTCCACAATGGCTGCACTAATAACAAATCTGCACTTGTACCCCTGAACTTAAAAGTTTAAAAACATATATAAATATATAAAGAATGAGACCAAGTCACCCATATAGCATTGGGAACATATTTGGAGTATCTGTTTATCAATGTATCATCTTTTTATCTATCTTTCATGTGTGTTAATACATCTACCTATATTTGAAATCATATATTGCAAACTGTTTGGAAATTTAATTTTAACTCTTGAGCGCATAAGAACATCTTTCTATGTTAATAAATGCATGTCCACAACATAATCTTTAATGGCTGTAGATTGTTTCGTTGTATGATTGGATCACAATTTAATCATTCTAGTACAGTTAACTGTTTATTTTCAGTTTTTCATAACTCTAAACATATATGTGATTCATATCTTTGTAGCTAAGTATCTTTTTTTCTTCAACTTTTATTTTAAATTCAGGGGTCCATGTGCAGGATGTTCATGTGTATTGCATAGGTAAACAAGTGCCATGCTGGTTTGCTGCACAGATCATCCCATCACCTAGGTATTAAGCCCAGGGTCCATTAGCTTTTCTTCTTGATGCCCTCCCTCCCTCCATCCCAGTATGATATTGGCTGTGAGTTTGTACTTCTGTGGGGTCAGTGGTGATATCCCCCTTATCATTTCTGATTGTGTTCATTTGATTGTTTTTTCTTCTTTATTAGTGTAGCTGCAGTCTGTTTTATTAATTGTTTCAAAAAACCAGCTCCTGGATTCATTGATTTTCTGAAGGGCTTTTTATGTGTTTATTTCTATCACTTCCACTTTCGCCTTGGTTATTCCTGTCTCCTACTACCTTTGGGGTTTGTTTGCTCTTGGTTCTCTACTTCTTTTAGTTGAAATTTTAGACTGTTGACTTGGGATCTTTCTAGCTTTTTACTATGGGCATTTAGTACTATAAATTTCCCTTTTTACACTGCTTTAGCTGTGTCCCAGAGATTCTGGTACATTGTCTCTTTGTTCTTATTAGTTTCCAAAAAGTTCTTGATTTCTACCTTATTTACCCAAAAGTCACTCAGGATCAGTTGTTCATTTTCCATGTAGTTGTGTGATTTTTAGGGAATTTCTTAATCTTGAGATCAAGTTTGATTGCAGTGTGGTCTGAGACATGGTTAGG